TATGCCTGTTGAGTTGTAATCATTTAATTTGTACTTCAACAATTCAATATATTACCTGATTTGCATATGTCGTACTTATGTTTGAAATGCACAGTATCGACAGTTAAAGTACAATCCTTATCTTTGTATTTTATCTGATTAATTAAATTGATTTCCTATTAAGCGACATTGCGGAGTTTATATTTCATATAGATGTGTATAAACTATATTATGTACATAATACTGTAATATAAATAATTTACTTTTAAAACAAACCTATAATTAATAAATAATTAACGCCTCATATATACAGGTTTACGGGTTTGATTTTATAATATTTTTATATTATTTATGCATAAATAGAAATTATGAATAAAAAGTAAGCAATGAACAAAATCTTGTCCAATAATAGTGTTAATAAAATCCATTGCTTGTGATTATCATCGGATTTATTAACTTGTATGCGATCTGAACACCACTTTCTATGCCTTCTCTGACACTTAATTCCCGCAAATAATCGCCGACTCCTATGACACCAATGAATGGGTTGTTGAGCACCACTGATACCATTGGATGTAATGGTGATGTCATCGCAAGAAATCTGTTCATCACTACTGAACACATTGTCATCATTGAGATAAACACCATATTTATTGATATTTTGCGAACTAATTGAAAGTAATAATAAAACTTATGCTCAAATAAATTATAAATAAATCAAATATTACATTCATTTCTAATAATATACATTATTTATTCAAGATAGATAAAGTAAAAATATACTATAGTTCATGACTTATAAACTTATCAAACTTTGTACAAGTTCATATTACAATGATATAATTTATTTGAAATACTTACCAATCCGTGGGACGTCTGTATTGACTTTGAATGCAATTTTGTTGGCAATGAATAGCAGTATAACAAAGAGTATGGTTAACGACAGTCCTATTAATCGGTATCTCTTTACAGAGTTTGGGGGGAAAGTGATGGCGACTATGGATATAATGATCGGCAGTATTATCGGTGTTGTGATGAAGTAATACAAAAGCGATTGCTTTCGCTGTAAAGTCACTGAATAGACAATTACTGTGAAAAAGTCACTTTCGGAATCACTTTGATCATATCGTTGTCCTGGATAATCAAATCTACATTTAAATCATAGAAAAACTTTAAATTTTAAATATAATGTTAAAACATATTGATTTAAATGTTAAAGTTTGAAATTAAGGTTGATTAAATACTAAGAAAATTATTATAAACATTCATTACTTATAACTTATAAGTTATGACATAATGTTACTACTACTTGCCTGATAATTTAAATACAAAAATGAACTTGGTAAACGAGTTTATGAAATCTATATTTAGTTTTAACGTTTTAGCATCTCGGACATCCCTCCCAAAACTCATACCTTTAGATGATATGAATTCCCACTCCGGGTTCACACGATTCACAGTATTAGCTGTGAGGTAAATATCCTGGTCAGTACGAGTGTCAAGTGTCATGTCTTCGTAATGAAAGATATCCACATATTTTTCCCTGTTTATTGACCCCTGTTATAAACATATCAACCATTGCCTATTCATATGACTTTAATTTTCTAAACAAAATCAATGACTTTATGAGTAAATATCGTATATTTCTAGCGACGAGTGGTTTCGGTCTATTCATCCTATTCTTCGCGTTTGGTTTATCTGCCATTCCTTTGGCGTATTTATCTTTAATTTTCTAAACAAAATCAATGACTTTATGAGTAAATATCGTATATTTCTAGCGACGAGTGGTTTCGGTCTATTCATCCTATTCTTCGCGTTTGGTTTATCTGCCATTCCTTTGGCGTATTTATTCTCATTGCGACTGAAGCTGCCGTCCACTGGTTTCGCCATTTTGGTGGTCATATACCTGTTGACANTCGAAAAACATAATCTCGAAAAACAATCTCGAAAAACAAAATCTCGAAAACATAATCCCGAAAACATAATCTCGAAAAACATAATCTCGAAATTTTAAAAATCATATTAATAACACTATACCGAAGTAACTAGCACGTCCAGATATATCTGATGTAGTTAGCATCCGGTATGGTAAGCTATATCTGCTATCTGCGAAGAGCTGAAACCGATAAAACTGTATCGGACCGGGCCAGTACTTCGCGCGTTACCTAACCTAACCTAATGGTTCAACAAGGTAATAATCATGTTAGCTATATCAGATATGTGTGTGTGCTAGTAATTAGTGTTATTATACGATTTTTTAAATTTCGAGATTATGTTTTTCGAGATTGTTTTCGAGATTTTGTTTTTCGAGATTTTGATATACTCCCGAAAATTAGGTCTTTTGATCAAAATTAGGTCTTTTGATCAATTTTAGGTCTTTTGATCATTAGGTCTTATGATCAACTACCATCTATATGAAATATAAACTCTTCAATATCGCTTAATAGGAAATCAATTTAATTCATCAGATAAAATAACTTTTATTATAAACTTGTGCTGCAATTATATGTAATATCTTCATTTCATTTGAATAACAAACCAATCAATAATTATACACGATCATTTTTAAAAATGTAAGAGAACATTATATGATTTTTATTTTGCATTATTATAGAAAAATTCATTAAATCTAATTCATTAGACTAGTATATCTACTTAAAATTTAAGTCTTAAATGACACACATATACAGTATTTTATATTATTATTCAAAACACGCGAAACCAAAAACAATGGTTTTTATTTTAAGAGATCTTCAATTTAATTTTTATCCACAAATAAATATATTTCTTTAATTATGTTTTGAATACATTGTTTAAATATAAATTATAGTACTGTATATAACACTTATAAATCATACTAAAGATATCATAATTTAAAATTAATATTTAAAATGTTTACATAAAATATGTACTCCAAAGACCATCGCATGCCTTAATAAATAAATTTTCAAAATTATACCATAATTTATATGGACTTAAATCTTTCACTTTTGGCGCGTAATCTCCAGTTTTAAAATTAATAAGTTTTGCCCAATTTTTACCTGGATTGCTATCAATTGTAATCAAAGTACATAAAATTAATACATTTAACGTAAGCATTTAATGCTTTTATACCATTTTTATGTAACAACCAAAGTATTAATTAAATAGCTTGGTAACGATTATTGATTAGATAATTAATACAAGCTCTTAAATGCATGTGCTGTGCATCAGGGTCCTTCGATGGGATACCGCTTTTTGATGACAAAGATAAGGATTGTACTTTAACTGTCGATACTGTGCATTTCAAACATAAGTACGACATATGCAAATCAGGTAATATATTGAATTGTTGAAGTACAAATTAAATGATTACAACTCAACAGGCATAAACAGC